ATTTAATGATGTAACATTTTGCAACAATGTGGAGAACGTAACCATTGGGAAACAATTTATAATGCACTGTTGGTGTTTCGATTATTATTTGCTGAACAGAGAACATTACAATGGTCTGACGAACATTATATCTAAATATTATAATAACGGTTTGGAGGGGGCAAGCTTTAACAGTGTTGGAAAACAAGCCTCATTTCTATTTATTGGTAGCGAAATGTAATAAATAAATACAAATATTGGAACTTATATTATTTAATAAAAGTTGCTATCAAAGTCTTTATTGAGATGTTATCAATATCAACTTTTCACGTGTGTGTTGTTTTTTATGTTTTTACAGAGGTAAATATAACATGGTCCAACTCAATCGTGGAGTATTACTGACCCCTGCTGGTGGAAGGCTGAACTGCACGGGACACATCAATGTCAAGAAATTCAAAAAAACATCCTTAAAAAAACATTAAAATGAGATTGATGATGAATGAATAGATCCACATTGTCGATCCAATCTGGTTTACTTAAGTTTAGAACATTCAAGATGACCGGCAATGTGCTAAAATAAAGGAAACTAATGGCATTTCTTCTCCTTTGAATGCCATTTGTTTTTCCACGCCTATATTGTGGTGACAGTTACAGTACGGGACATAATTCACTGTGTGTTATAGTGTGTGTTGCACCACGGACGAGTTAGTGGGAGCACTGTGTGGTGGTTATGCTAGCTTGAGAGCAGCAGCAAGCATGTTGTATGTATCCTGTCTGTTGCACTAAATGGAAAGTAAAGTATGGAATTCTATACGGAACACACCGCCTCTGACTCCCTTTCATCGGCTCTACACTGGTGACCCTGACGTTTTCGTAATAGATTCCGAAGACTTATTGAACATGGCTGATCGCGATGTTTTCGTAAAGCTGCCGGAGTTTTAGGAGCATGCCGCTGCTGCGTGGTTTGCACATGTGGAGGCACACTTTTCCTGCCGACAAGTCCGTGACGTGGATTTGAAATACTACCATGTAGTAGCAGCGCTGGGAAGCTCCACGTCATCCAGGTTGGTGGGATTTATCGCTGACCCCCCACACCATGGCAAATATGAGGTGATTAAAGCCCTTCTCCTTAAGACATTTAGCTTATCTGCTAAGGAGAGGGCACGCCAGATTCTTGACATTCAAGGCCTAGGGGACAGCAAGCCATCTCAGCTCATGGAGAAGATGCTAAATCTGCTAGGAGGGGAAGATCCACGGATTTTATTCATGGAGACATTCCTACGCCACTTGCCTTCCCGTGTCCAGACGGCGCTAGCCAACACGTCCATTACAGAGCCCCGTGCATTGGCGGAAGAGGCCGACCGTTTTTTCTTGGCTACCCAGCAGCCCGGTGCAGAGGCGCTAGCTGTGACACTCAGCGCCCCCTCAACAGTTAAGAAGGCTTGGGGGAGGCTGGACGCGACAGTAACAAGCCGGAGTGGAGACACAGGAGAGTGTTTTTACCACGCGCGGTTCGGGGCCAGCGCGAAGAAGTGTGTCGCTCCCTGCAGCTACAAGCCTCCGGGAAACGGAGGAGCCAGCGCTCGGTAGTGGCCCTGAGCGTTGGCGGCACGAGCAGGCTTCTCTTCGTCAGCGACAGAGTCTCGGGAAGCTTGTTTCTGTGTGACACGGGAGCTCAACAGAGTGTAGTTCCTGCTTCAAGGGAAGACGTCACTCGTGGGGGACATGGACCGCGGTTGACGACGGCTAATGGCGGCCCCATTCGCACATACAGCGTGAGGCCTATGTGTTTGTGTATTGGAGGACAGCGCTTCAACTGGGATTTTGTGACAGCAGACATTTATTTTCCCCTCCTCGGGGCGGATTTTTTATGTGCTCACGGACTCCTTGTGGACGTTAAAAATAAACGCTTGGTGGATGCCTTGACGTTTTCCTCCCTTGTGTGTACTGGCAAGGCAGCTTACAACGGGCTGTCGGGCTCGCTGTCGGGAGCGGACATTTTTCTCAGGCTGTTGGCTGATTTTCCAGACCCGACACCCACCTTCTCCGCGCTTACCACCAAGCATGTGATGGAGCACAACGTCACCACCGAGGGTCCCCCAGTCTAGGCCAGGGCCCGGTGGCTCAAGAACGCTGCCCAAACGTTCCAGCGCCTGATGGATTCGGTGCTGCGGGACCTGCCGTTCGTGTTCGTCTACCTGGACGACATACTCGTCGTCAGCGCTTCGGTGGAAGAGCCCCTGTCACACCTCCGAGCCCTTTTCGTGAGGCTCAGCCAACACGGGTTGATCATCAATCCTGCAAAGTACCAGTTCGGGGTGTTTGACATTGACTTCCTCGGACACCGCGCCACCAAAGGCGGTGCAGCACCCCTGCTGGCGAAGGTGGAGGCTGTTGTGGCGTTTCCTCGCCCACTCACAGCCCGGTCGCTCCGTGAGTTTCTGGGGATGGTGACTTTCTACCACCGTTTCATCGCCCGGGCCGCTCAAATTATGCGACCGCTGTATGAGGCTTTGAAAGGAACGACNCACTCTAGGATAAATCAATCGATATAACTTATGGGATAATGCACAAACAAGGTTTAGCTAACAAACTGAGATTCTAGGGAAATATAAGTATCATCACTGAGCGTCGAGCGATCAGAACTCGCGACAGGGGAAGCAAATACAGACATCACACGAAGTAGCTTTAGGTAGCAAAACACGGAGATATGCTCACCTTTTGCTGTTATTCTGATCAACAACGAGAAAAACGCGGCTGAAGGTTAATCCATAGGTTAATCCAATGTGTCTGTCACTTTGAAAAACGATTGATAATCCATAATTCTATTTTCATGTCAAAAACGGAGTTTTCATATTAGCTGCTAATTATGTTTCGGCGGCATAGTTTAAAGACAGCAACAGTTGGCTTCTGCTGCACTTGCTGCACTCTCGTCTGGGGCGCTGTGCATAGCGCCCAGACGAGAGAGGGTAATGATACACGGGCAAGGCCAGGCAGGAAATGTGATTTATCAGTAAATTTAGACATCGTAAAACAATTTTAAACGAGATTTTATTGTAGATTATACATTATACTGATACCAATTATATAATATTTACCTTGTTTATTAAAAATTAAAAATATTATTATTATTTATTTTATTTTTTTAATGTGGGAAGAGGGGGGGCGGCGCTCCTATGGGCCGGCTGCCACTGGTTGCAGCGATTGTAAAACACAGATTAAAACTAAAGTAACGAGCCTGTTTGGAAAATGTAAGAAGTAGAAAGTACAGGTATTTGTGTTAAAAATGTAAGAATTAAAAGTAAAAAGTCGTAGTGTAGTAAAGTACTAATACCAGAAAAACGTACTTAAGGAAGGTAAAAAGTATTTGTACTCCACTACTTCCCACCTCTGGTTCCGTCTAAAATAATACAAAAGTTATAGTATTATTTTTCCAAAACAATCAAAAGATAGTTTTTCCAAAAAAAAGAGTGTAAATGGGAAATGAAAAAAAGTCATGTAGTATGATGAAAAAAGGTAATGATAATGCATGTAGTAAAACAAGTATGTTCAAAATGTGTTCAAAAACGTCATAGTATAGTATGTATTCTTTTATAAAAATAAATATAGTATGTCAAAAAGAACGAAGCAGAAAGGGATAGCATAGATTGTGGAACATTTGAAAAAAGTCATGAAAGTATGTAAAGAAATTTGTAGAAAATACTTTGTATAGTATGTTGCATAAAATGAAAAAGATAACTCATATTATGTCAGAAAAAATTAATTGATATTGATTTGTTGAAAATCAGCATTGTATGGGACGTTGAGAAATATACAAAAAAGTCAAAGTATAGTATAGTACACAGAGGTGAGCAGCTGCTTACAGGACCCTCCCTTCTCATGTCCATTCCTTCTAGTTAACTCTGTGATTGTATAGTATCTCGAAAAATATGAAAAAATGGTAAAAGTATAGAAGGCATATGTGGAAAAAGACACAGTATATAGTGTATCATAGAAATCATCAATGCTACCCTCCGATGAGACACTAGGGGTGTCCAAACTACGGCCCGGGGGCCAAATGCGTCCCTCAGCAAATTCAAAAAGTATAATGACTTAAGTATTATAAACTTCTGCTTGTCTTATATTGTACTTTTTAAATATATATGTTCAAATATATTACACAGTATTCATGTGTTAATAAGCCCAATTTTAAACCCTTTCTATTTCCTCTTAGGATGATGAGCAATCTGAGGCTCCTAGGCTAACAAGATAAATGAAACCCTATGGAGAGCTGGGATGTAGGCAGTTTTTTTCTAACAACATTTTCAAGTATCAAGAGTAATTTGCCTACGTTGAATAGATTTTTCCAACTTATAACTGAACTTATGAGCCAATAACCCTCTAGGGAGTGACCCAGCCCTTCGTATATTTTTCTATATGTGGCCCTCGGTGAAAAAAGTGTGGACACCCCTGCACTAGAGGATTCTTGTTTTGATGTTCGCTAATTCAGAAAACTCTGTAGGCTTTAGGGTCAACAGACGTTGCTAACCCACCAATATGGCTTGGAGGCCACACCCCTCACATTACTTCGTTCCCACATCGCACAGTAGAAAGAATCCAAATCCAGCCTCACTAAGGTCTGTTTGGTCTCTCTGTTCTGTTGTGCCCTGCAGTTTTCATTTCACACTGTGAGCATGTCGATATCTCTTTGGCTGAGTGTGAGAGTGTGAACTGTATTTACAGCTGCCTGAGCTGATGAGCAGTGCATTAACGGTGTACTTTCTGATGTGGAAACAGCACATTTGACTACTGGGAGAACCCATTTCCCTGAGAAGGCCTCCCTCGGTAGATTAAACGCTCCCTCAGACACAATCAACGGAGCTGGAGATGTGTCAGCGCCAGTGAAGCAACGTTTGAATCTGACTGCAGATCTGTTTTAGTCAGTGTCAGATGTAATTTGATTACTTCAACCATTCCTAAAATGTATCAACCATGAGCTTTCGGGTAAGAAATAATCAAGAGAAGGAAACACAAGAAATACCTTTTTCAAATTCACTTGGCTTTTATTCACATTTCATATCTTTTGACATCTCAACTGCACCATCCGTCCATACATTCCACTACAACTCAACTGTCCCCTTCCTCCCCATCGTAGCCGATGAAAACAGAAGGTGAGACCACCGCCATCCCAAATAAAAATAATAATATTAATAATAATAATGAAAAGCAGCATTGAAGAAACAACTTTTGATTTCTGCCTCCCTTCATCAACAGCATATTTGTATTAAATTACCTGAATGTAACCATCAACCTCCATTAGAAGAACAAACATAAAACTGTTGCCATCATCAGACTCAAAACTCAATAAAATTAATAATTATAATGTTGAATACAAACTCAGAAGTTTAAAAGAAAGTGACTCAAGCCTTTTATAGGGGAAAAAAACATGATTGTGTGTGTGTGTGTGTGTGTGTGTGTGTGTGTGTGGTAATGTTCCTACATTCTGCTCCAGCCTTTACTATTATAGATCCAGTGAGAGTAGATCTTCTCTGGTCCCGTTTGTTTGTTAAGACAGTGGTGCCTGGTACCAGTGAGCTACAGCAGGGTGCTACAACAACAGGTGAGGCGAATCTCTCCACCAACACACTCCACGGCTTAACATGAGTACTTTTGGTCCTGAAGGACATCATAATTCATGATTTAGTGTCCTGTGAGAAGGAATGGTTCTCTGTACCACTAACACATTCAGTTTTTACATGTGAATAAGCCCCTTTCAGACACGCAGCTCGTTACGTTAAAGTCATTTGGACCTATCGAATGTTCCATAACACTTCCCAGACCAAGCTGGTTTGAACTGGATATCATCACAATATCACAATGCCACGGCAGCACAAATTATACAAGTAAAATGATTAAATGTATGTCTCGGTTCCTCTATAGAGGCCTAAAGAGTATTTGCTCTTTAAGCTTCGCGCTATGATCAATGTGGTCCAACAAGAACTCAGTTTCCTATTCGAAGTTTAAAAAGGTTAGTTATTAATCATTAGAGATTTGTGAATAGGATGAGTTTTTTGTGTTCGTTTATGACTGGTGTTTTTCTATTTCTTTATGAATATTTAGCTTTAAGAGCACTGAGAAAAGTACCACGTAATTAAACATATTCTATGAAAAGACACTGAAACACTGTAAATGAGCAATTTTACGTTGAGGAAACTGTAGTCATTTCAGATTGATGCTTAAAATGATTTTATTTCCCCATGCAGCATGGGGCAAAAGAGGTAGAAATAAAAATAAAAAACATTAAAACCAACACACCGCCAATCTTTTTTCAAGTAACATTCAGGCTAACTGCATGGACGAAATGATAAATATCCTGTATATAAAGTGTTCAAATACAGCATACAGGCACGAGAGTCCCTATGACTTGTCATTCTGTATTAGGACATTATAGTATAAAAAAGCAGCAGAATAAAATAAACTAATACAATGTGAAATTAATAAGTTGGAACGGGTGGTAGCTTCTCACACTGACTATGCACATTATTCAAGATTTGAACACATTTTAAAATCATCACTGACCCACTATTCATCATTAACATCATGACTTTTCAACTCCATCACTACTTTTCGTTCACCTGGTGCTAAATACTGAGCATGGTGAATATTTCCATTAATTAACACACTATAACCACCATGTCTGAAAAGGGCTTCACTCCCGTACAAAATGTCTGCATAAAGCCAGGAGAGAAAATCAATATGCCTGTTTCATTTTGCATCCCCCTTGCAGCCATGTTTTTTGTCTATTCTGTATGCGTAGTGAGATTTTAGTCAGGCCCAGAGTCAATCAGATAAAAACAACATTAGTGCTAAAATCCTCTTGGCATCCTGTCACCTTCGCCAGAGGAGAATACAGAGTCAACAGCAATGATATGGTCACTGACTGTAGTCAGAAAGGCCTCCAGGATAGGATTAGTGTGCTTTCTCTGCGCAGTGTTCCTTCTCATCACTAGGTGGCGGTGTTCATCTGGACACTGTCGCCTCTTCCCCACACCATGGGTTTCCTTTCTGGATGAGTGAGCCGCTGATGGGATACCATCATCAATAATTTATTTCAAGTCAAAAAACAAATGAAAAAGCAGCTTGAAATCCAAGAGAAGCTGGTGCTGTCTTTGTTTGAAAGCCTGGACGTCCTCTTTCAGTTCTCCCACCATCTTTCCTTCTCTCCATCCTTTAATACACCCATCTGTTGTGGAGCTATGGCGCTCTCAGTGTGGACATGCTTCCATCCATCATCCTTTCAGTCATTCATTTCGTTAATGCATCCATCTTTCTGGAGGTCTGGTTTGTGTCCTTGTACTCCCAGTTGGCTCTGCTGGTGTCAGTCACTGGTATTGGAGGTAATTTTTCAGGGACTGGGGCAGAGGGAGGCCCTCGATCTCTTGAAGCCGCTCCCGACCCAGCGCCATGCGGGCCGCACGCCGACACAGGTCCATCAGAGGGAGGGGCTCGGCTGAGGAGGGGGACAGAGAGAGAGAGGGATTAGACAAAACAATAACAACGGATATGTGAAAATGACTTGTGTAACGTGTGATTTGAGATTGATTTGATTTGTTGATGTTTGTGCTTATGCCTTAACCTTTTATACATGCATTACACACCTTAATATTTGTTATACATGCATGAATGACAGAAATAGAGAGTGGTGATGCACACCTTTAAATATTTAAACCTCCTCCTCATACACATACAATGACACCTGTTTGGCTAGCATATATTACATTAAGTTAATTTTAAACACCATCTGTCAGACCGACTTTCTCTCCAGCTGAAAACGTTTGATAGGTAAACAGTTTAACTGTTAAAAAAAGGGGATAATATAGTCAACATTTAAAAAATGAAACTTGTAATAAGAGTGCCATGTATATCTGTGAGCTGCTGGCCAGTCTCGTCTGTGACCTTCCTCCTCCCACCGGGGTGAAGGAGGAAACAGACAAAGGAGTCTGACTGCAGGACACACAGAGGAGAGGAGGAGGAGGATGAGGATGAGGAGGAATGGTGCTGCATGTCTGCATCGTGATGTTGTTGTGTTTTTAATTGTCCATAGTCATAAGATGTGTCTTAATGCCAATCTACAAAACTCACAAACTTCAAAAAATCATAATCATTTGCCTCTAGAGTTAATGTGAGCCAACACATTAGTCATTTTATCTTGGCACAGATATAGATGTTAGCAGTGTGGCTCAGGTTTGGGAAGGCTAAATAACTTTTTTTACCTGGCGCTGCCCGCCTCCGGCGTCAATAGAAAATAGATCAACTCAGTGAAAGCACCGCTGCTGACCAATCAGAGCTCAGTTTGTGGAGTTTAAATCTATCAAGTCATATTACAGGATAAAGGAAAGTTTAAACTGCCGTATGCAGAGAAGACGGCGACGTGTCGCAATTATCATTCATATCACATCATCAATAAGATCATCGATCATATAACATCATAATATATCATTTCCTTATCTGAGTCAGCTTCTCGAGCCGTATCTGGCCGTGCAACACTCACAGTGTCACATACTATATGCAGAAGTAGGTTATTATCTTAAGCAACACATTAGGTTGACGAAACAATCAACTCAAATGTAATTAAAGTCAGATCCACTCGTGTCTAGATGGGGCAGTGATATCATAAAACTGTTGTACGCTTTCAAACACTTTATAGTAGTTTATTTATTTTGTAACCAGTTGTTCTGTATAGGCTACACCTTGCAGGTACAACTATGTGGCTTGTATCCTGGATTATATGTTTAAATCATGGATGTTTAAAGTTCATATTTGGCTAATATTAGTTTGCTTTTCTTTAATAAAGTATGACGCTGCGCTGTCAGTACACTTGTCCCAGATACGGCTCTGACTTGTCCCTGTTTGTGATCTATGTGTCAAATGTTGCTAACCCCGCCCCTTTCACGTGAACGCGCTCTCAGCTGGAGAGAGAAACCCTGGCTTGATTTTAGTGATGGGAATTCTGGCTCTTCTTGGTGAGCCGGATCATTTGGCTCGGCTCACCAAGAAGAGCCGGTTCTTTCGGCTCCCAAACGGCTCTTCAGTTTTCCACATATTATACCTTTTATAACTAAATCAAATGTAGCCCTGTTTTGACTAATGATTTATATGTGTACACATATATCACTTAAATTATTCAATACATCCTTTGTACTGAAGTATTCAAAAGTAAAAATTACATGTTTAATATAAATGATTTGCTGTGGCCAAATGTTTTCATTGCATTTACAGACCCTCGTAACTCTCTGATACCACCCAATGAATTCACTTACTTGCTTGTAGAACCACGCTACACAAAGCAGATTGCAACATCTATAACAACTTAAGCATAGACATTTAAAAAAAGGGGCTACTGTATCGACATTTTAAAATTATATTTAAAGAAAAGGCCCTGATAAAACAGCAGGGCTCTATTTCAGTAACTATTAGCTATAGAAAAAAAGACAGCAACAGCTGACATCAAATCTTTGCTGAGCCTAAGGATAATCATAAATAAATAACATGAAAATAAATGTATTGCAATGCTCAAAACAGCCGCATCCAACAGTCTCTAATCCTTGGATATTACATGTCACTGCATGCATGCACGGAGCAGCTATAGCGCGGAGATCATCATATCATTCTGTCTTGTATTACTTAACAAAAAAAGCTTCGGTATTTTTTGCCCTCTGCCCTATTTTTCAAGTTTCTGTGTTGAGGAGACTTGAGAAGTTTTGTGTCATAAAAATGGTGGTGAAAACTGTTATTCGAGTAACTAATGGAAGTTACAATCCTTTAAAGTCACATAATCTAATGCTTTTTAAATGTAGTCTCACAGTTACGGTAAAATATGTTTTACTCAAAAAAAAAAGACATCAAAGTAGGCCTATGCATTTTTCAGTGGACTTATTTGGGGGAATCATATTATGAATGGCATTGCTAGAACACCACCAGACATAAAGAGTAGAGAGTTTTAACAAAGCTTCTCCGACACACTCAGTATGAACCCACCTTCAGCTGCTTCACAGCCCAGCTGCCACGTGCATCTGCAGGATGAGGAAGGCAGGTGTGATGAAAGGGAGGAAAGGCTGGTGGTGGGGGCTGATCAGGAAATGGTGTAGGGAAATCTAATTTATTTTTCATACGCTGCTGAGATGGAAAGTCATATATCATGCCATGCAGCAATTTTGTGCCAGTCCCAGGCACACAAAAGATGAAAGAATAGTGATCAAAGATACAGAGAGAGAAGTCAGCTACTAGAGTTGCTATGAGATCCACTACCACTGAGAACAATATAAACTGTGTTGAAATAGTCATTCGGACTCCTGTCACTGTTGGTTTTTAGTGTCGGACAACTCCCTTCAAACAGCTAACGCAGTAGGGAACAGGAGGGAACTTTATTTTTTTTGGTCGAGTATACAGACTTGGAAGTAATGTGTATGTATGTTGGCTCTATGAAAACTGATGACCTTATATGATTCTGTTTTCTTCAAGGTTGTATCTTCCTGGTCGAATGTACTTACTGTAAGTCGCTTTGGATAAAAGCGTCAGCTAAATGCAATGTAATGTAATGTAAGAGTAATGTAAAAGAAAACATATTTGGGATTGAATATGGTTCCTGAAGTAATCTTCGTAATAACTAGCAAACTAAAGATCATGTACATCCACTGCATACATAATCTGAAATAACAACTCATATTTCTCGCATCAAATGACATCAAAACGCATTTTAATGGCCAAACTAACTTTAAAATAGGCATTTTCCACCGAGAATAAAACGAAGTCCGGCCATGTTTTTTTTTTCTGCAGGGAGAAATTTGAAGATCACGTGACATAGGCGCCAGCCATTGGAATGAATGGGGTTTNTTTGTTTGCCCACTGGCAAAAACAAAAACTTACAGTAAATTGTTTCTTTTTTTAAACTTTATTTGTGCATTAATCAGATTAAATATTTGTCTATTGGGATCAGCACTAGTTTCTATGGGTTAAAAAGAATTAGTATTAATGGCATTTCGAATGGGCTGGCTTCAAGAGAGGGACATAGGACAGGGTTTCTGGTTAGAATTGAAGTATTCTAATGGGGGTATAAGATAGAAGTGCCCATAATATACTGAGCGGCTGTTCACAAGAGGGTGTTTATGAATTTTTTATTTTTATTTAATCACATAATTGGGTGGAGGTAAAATGTTTCTGCCCTCGAACAGTTAGACGTAATCACAACAGGGATTGCGATTTACTTTACCACACGGGAAGGCTTCTGGTGGGGTGAAAAAAACGGATTTATTCTACAGAATCTGGGACAACCATAATTATTTATTATCCACGGTACTGCAGCCATATCTGCTGTTGAATCCTGCATAAAGCGTGCGCATAATGTGGGCCACAGATTCAGGGGTCAAAATAAAATGGCGGCCGTGCAAAATCAAATGGGCAAGCCAAACATAATCATATCCCCCGAAAAATATTTCTGGAATAAGATATTCTAAAGTCCTGGGGCTTTCTTTTTTAATCAAACTGAAAATCTATGCTATCACTATCGCCCAGCAGATAGTTATGCATACAAAAAACGGGGTCCTTTTTAAGATAGAATCCTTTATTGGTCATTATGCCGGTACAATGAGATGTGGTAGAGCCTACTCCTTTTTTTTAAGGCTGCCATCAAACATACAAACAAACAACAAGAGACGCTACGACCTTCAGGCAGAAGAAACTTACAAACAGCATTCATACTTCAAATATGCAGATGGTTATTCTACGTGGGGCCTGGTTCTTCTCTGGCTGTTGTCGCTAGTTGGAGGAGATCGAGCAGATGACGGGCTCTTCCAGCATGCAGCAGGTGGAGCTGATGGTTCCCGTGTCTGGAGGGTGAGGGCTGAGACAGGCTTGGATTCCTCTGAGGAGCAACAGGACATGAGCGCCTCCTTCTTCGCTCCTCCTTCACATCACACCCTCCTCCGCTGCGGAGCCTGGAGGAGACTTGCATATAGAGCCCTGCAGATGTGAGGCCTCGGCCTATATGGGGCCTTCATGGTTGTTTTTGGGCAGCCGCCATTAACATCCTTTCCATTAGATCATTTAGAGCACCTGGCATGAATGGTGGACTCGCCTGTTGAAGCGGGATCAGAAATGATAACACCGGAGCATTATGTGGTGGCTCCAGAAAACGCGGGCAAAGATCCTTGATTGATGCGGCTTAAAATCCTTGATTATGCGATTTAAACATGCGGGTTTTATGTGATTAATGCGGTGAAACTGCGAGAAGTGCGAAATATGCGAGAAGTTGCGAAATATAGCTAAATTATGCGTGGAAAAAATTATCTCGATTTTTTTTTAAACATTGGGCTGTCTTATTTATTTCTCTCACACACACCTGCCACTAACGTTAAACCCTTTTACTATTCAATTAAACACCATTCAATGTTCTATTTATTGTAAAAGCAATTGGGCTTATTTTAATCTCACCACCACCCCCTCCCACACACA